CATGGATGGCTGGTGGAGGGAATAAAGAAAATTAAGTTATGAAATTTTTTTTAATTTTGGGGCCTCCCTGGTGGCAGAGGGGTTAAATTCTCAATACTATCAAGCTATCACCAGCCACGGTGGCATGAGTTTGATCTCTAGCCAGGGAGCTACCCACGTGGTGCAGCAGACCTCTTCTATCTGGCCCGCTGCTCCCCTCAGCAGTGTATTTCATTAGATGCACCTATTCTGTTCCCCACTGTATCAATCATCTGGCCCTCTGCACCTCTGGCCTACACCCCAGTATGCATAAATAAGGAAAATTTTTAAAGATTTTTATCAGTGTAAAAAAAATAACAGTACAAAACACAGCAAAGGACAAAAGACAATTACAAATCAGACATACTGCAGGGGAGGAGGAGGGAGAGGGATCAGATAGACTGAACAAGAAAATTTTCCTTAACTTTAAAAAAACCTAGTAGCGAGCCTCCCTGGTTGAGCACAGCACTGTGAAGCTGTCCTCAGCCTCTGCAGTGTGGGGGCCTGGGGAGAAGCCCACATGGCACAGCAGATCTCTCCTGTCTCGCCCACTGCTCTCCTCAGCAGTGGATTTCAGTCAATCCTCCTGTTCTCTTCCCCACTCTCAGGTGAATTCTCACCCTCCTGTATATCTGACCTATACTCCGGTTCTTGTATAAATCTTTTTTTAAAAAAAAAGTCTCACGTGGTGCAGTGGTTGAGCGCTGGTCTGAGAAGCTGCCCGCAGCCTCTGCAGCGTGGGTTCGATCCCTGGCCACCTGGCGAGGATCCCACATGGCACGCAGACCTCTTCTGCTGCCCGCTGCTCCTCTCAGCAGTATATTTCGTCAGTCTGTTCTGCTCCCCGCTCTGGATCTGGTGAATTCTCATCCTCTTGTGCTTCTGACTGTACCCAGTGCTTGTATAAATAATCTTAAAGAAAATAAAAAAACCTAGCACAGTAAGTCTACACAATTTTCTAGGTTCCTTACAAAGGCACTCTAAGGTATAGTGGGTCACCTCTGAAATACAATGCATTTAGGACATCTTCAGCACCAGTTTCCTCATGGGCATCTATCCAGATGTTCTCATGCCATGTTTTAGTGTCCCAAGTCTAATAGAGCCCCGAACCTTGGAATAACAGACCTTTGAAATGAGCATCCAAACATCTCCTGTGCTGTGCTTCTAAAAATTATGTTCAGCCTCCTTCTCATCTGTGTATCATTGCAAAAGATAAGGGCCTTCTTGGAAGTTCTCAAATACACTCTGGCTCACACACTTAACCATTAACCAAACTTCACTTTGTTGGTTAGCCTGCCATGTTATTCAAATACTTGAGTCATCACACCTGCAATAGTCTTTCTCTCTAGTGGGACATTCTTTAACACTAGTGAAATCTTTAACACAATTGAGCTACCTGTTTGAGGGCTACCTAACCCTATGTATTAACTAAGAACATTCTCTTCATCACCAGGCAATTAGTGAGGTAATCCTAAATCCCCATTTTTAACTTCTGCTTCTTAGTTCTTCAAAAAGAAGACAAGATGGGACTGGACATGAGATTTGTCAGAGGTTATGTCCATAAAGTAAAATGTGGAAGGGACAAGAGCACACTGAGCTGGTCACTGATCATAATACCAGTCTGATCTCTATCAAGAATTAAGGGAGGACAAAGGTCAGTCATAGACGTCAGTGTATTTCCAAAAACTTCAGCAGCTAGTCAAGGAGCCACAGTTGCCTATCAGTGCTCTCACTCCCAAGAACGATCCAATCCTATGTCCATATAATGCCCAGTCATTGGCTGAGAGCTGCTTGTGGGTATGACCCAGGCAGAACATGGTGACTGAATCTCAAATGGCAGCAGCTAATGTTTAGTCAATCATACTCCCTACCATAGGAGACTGGGAGGTCTACTTAAATGTTGGCACAACTAGCTCCATGTTTTTTGGTATTATGTTAATTAGCCTTTTCCGCTTAGTCAACTGAAGGCCTTTTGTCTGCATCCAAAATTCATGATATTTATGTAAAAATATGTAAGACACTAGAATTGAGGTTCTATAGTAATCTGACAGTCTCCTTATTCAGAGAATAGACTAATTCAAGTGCTAGGCTGAATTACAAAGGAATAATGCCATAAATTGGGTCCAAGTTTATCCAACTCCTTTGATTACACTCAGAAAACCTGAAAGTCCTGCGCTGAAGGGGAGCAACAAGTTTCATAATTGCTTTCTCCAGGTTTTCAACCTGGTGGTTAGATACATCAACACAATATTCAGGGGTAATTGAGTCTTTGGGGCTGCCTCTTTTCTTCATGCTCCGTAGAAGGCAAGCCTGGCAGGGCCCCGAAAGCCAGTGAGTATATACATGGCAGAGGGCAAGCCTGGCAGGGCCCCGAAAGCCAGTGAGTATATACATGGCACTGACTTAAAACATCTCCCCCTGGTCTCCAACAATGACCAGGGATTGGTGTGCAGAGGGCATGAAACAGAACATTGCTTGTGATTATTTATCGGGAGAACATATGATCCTCCCAACTCAGACATAATGTATTACGAAAGCTAAACCCCATGAGTGATGGGGTGGAAGTTAGATGTTAGAATTACTCATATAATTGGAACCTTAAATGAGCACATTCTGGATATTCCAATAGTGCAGCAACTAAGTGGAATAGCCAAAGCAAAACATTTTTCCTGTCGTGTAATCTTTCCTTTGCACTTGACTATATCCTGCCCAGTAAGCTTGCAGTATATCTGAAGTCTGGTAGACACATCTCCCTGCATGCTTTAGTTTATTGAGCTATGGGGTTTGTAATAAGACTTGGATTGAATTCAGCTCTCCTGTTTAAATATCAAATGTGCAATTCAGTCCATGGAGAAAGGGCCCTTTCAACAACTTCTCAGTGAAGGAAAATAAGGATCAGGAAGGCTAGAAGACTTAACGCGCTTTAAAAAAAAAAAAACTTAATTCTAGATTGTACCTCTTAAAAGAATCACCCAAGGTTGCTCATTTCATAGCATTTCTGAGAATGCCAATTTCTTACTCTGTAGAGCAGGAAGTCATTCCTGAATTTAGTGTTGTGAGGAGTGCATTAGCAACTTAGTGGCTAAATACTTCATGCAGGGCCTCCCCAGTGGCGCAGCGGTTGAGTGCTGGGTTGAGAAGCTGCCCGCAGCCTCTGCATCACCAGTTCGATCCCCAGCCACCGGCGAGGGTCCCACATGGCACACAGACCTCTCCTACCACGCGCTGCTCCCCTCAGAAGTGTACTTAGTCAGTCTGCCTGTTCTGTTCCCCGCTCTGAATTCTCACCCTCCCGCACTTGACTGTATCCAGTGCTTGTATAAATAAATAAATCTTTAAAAAAAGAAAAACGTATACTTTAAAAAAATACTTCATGCACATTTAACAATCTCCTCGTTGAGTTAATATTTCATCAGGAGGGTAAAGTCAATGTTCCTAAAAATACTAGAAGTTATAACTTTGTGTTTTTTCTTTTTTAAAAAAAAAAAGCACATTAATATCAGGGGTCCTACAGATGGATCAGGAGGTAGAGGGTTTCTGTGGAAGGGGAAGATTTTCCTTTCATGGGGGCTTCACGTGCTTCAGACAGCTTAATGGGAGTGGCCCTGCAAGGGGAATACATTAAGGGTGATGTTGAGAACACAATCATGTCTCATTTCCCTTTGTGAAGTTTCTACATTTCCAGGCCATATTTCCTTCATGAGTGTCCTCCACACCTGCTGGGCATACAAGCCAGTCTTATTCCAGAATACCAGAATACTGTGTTTTATTACTAAAGTAATTCTAGCAACATCTCAAGTGTTAAAGGCTCAAGGATGTGGACCTCCCTGGTGGCACAAAGGTTGGGCGCTGGGCTGTGAAGCTGCCCATAGCCTCTGCAGCACCGGTTCGATCCCCGGCCGCAGGGCGAGGGTCCCACACGGCATGCAGACCTCGCCTGTCACGCCCACTGCTCCCCTCAGCAGTGTACTTCATCAGTCTGCCTGTTTTGCTTCCTGCTCTGGTTCTGGTGAATTCTCTCGCCCTCCTGCGCTTCTGATTTAACCCAGTGCCCAAAAATAGATGACTAGATCAAGAAGATGTGGTACAAATATACAATGGCATATTACTCAGCAATCAAAAAAGATAAACACATGCAGTTTGCAGCAACATGGATGGAGCTAGAAGGGATCATGCTCAGCTAAATAAGTGAGAAAGAAAAAGAAAAATACTGGATGGTCTCACTCATAGCAGGAATTTAGAAAACCTAAAGGGACCAGGAAAAAGACTAATCCAAAGTAAAAAATCAAAATCAACAAGCAACTATAAACCAGAGACACACTGGGGGGGAGGGGCAGGAAGAGGAAGGACTAGGGTCAAAATAAAGGGAGGTGCAATTGTATGGGGAATATAACCGAAATGAAAATACATACATTGTGCAAATATGAAAAATGTAAGAAATATAAAAATATTTTTTAATAAATAAATAAATCTTAAAAGTAAAGGCTCAAGGATGGGAAATGCTTTACTTATAGCTAAGACCACTCTGAAGTGGCCCAGTTTCTAGAATTAATAAAGCTCACGAAAAACAGACTGAAAGTATTTAACACTAGACTTTTACTATAAATTCCAACCAAAACACTTGATCTAGACAAAAACTTTGTATGCAAGGGTGTTCTGTATCCTTGTGTAAAACATAAACAATATTACCTACTCATAAAATGTTAGGGTATTCATAAAAATTACATAACAATGAACTGCTGAATAATCAATAATAAACTGTTTATTTTGATTGTCACTTTTCCTTTTCAACTTCTATATCCTTTGGTCATAAAAGGAAATTCCATCTTTAGAATTTAGCTTACATTCTTAGCATTCCTCTGGAATTATAAAAACTGGGAGCTATAGGACCTAACATCTCAGACTTTGCAATTCCCAATTAGAAAGTTGTCCACCGTACTTTAAATGTCTTTCTCCATGAGTTTTAAAGAAGGAAGAAGCAGTCATCTGATCTTACTTTACTATCTTCAGGATTTGGAGAAGCCTTTCTCGAATTTGCTTGGTGCGCACAGCGTAGACAATAGGATTGAGGATTGGAGGAATGAGGAGATAGAAGTTGGCCAGCAGGGTATGGATTGGAGGAGGCACCTGGTGACCAAATCGATGAATGAGGGAAGAAACAGCAATGGGGACATAGAAGATCAGGATGGCACAGATGTGTGAACCACATGTCCCCAAGGTTTTAAGCCTGGCCTCAGGAGTTGCCAGCCCCATCACAGCCCTGAAAATCATCACATAGGAGGCAGCAATGGCCATTGAATCCAGGACCAGCACCAGAAAGCCAATGGTCAGCCCATAAACATTGTTGACCCTGCTGTCACCACATGCCAAGGTGACCACAGCCATATGCTCACAATAAGAGTGGGAGATGATATGGGCTTTGTAAAGGGGCAGCCGCAGACGGATCATCAGAGGCAGGGGTCCAATGTAGAATATGCCCCGGAGGAGGGCAGCCAGCCCCAAACGTCCCACCACTGCATTGGTGAGCACGGTGGTATGACGTAGGGGGTCACAGATGGCCACATAACGGTCAAAAGCCATGGCAAGGAAGATGCCTGACTCAACAGTAGCAAAACAGTGAATGAGAAACATTTGGGCCAAGCAGGCATCCAGGCCAATGTCACCAGCACCAAACCAGAAGATTCCCAGCAGTTTGGGCATGGTCGAAGTGGATAGAACCAGGTCAATGACGGCCAACATGCACAGGAAGAAATACATGGGCTGGTGCAGGCTACGCTCCACCCTTACCATGGCCAGAATGGTGACATTTCCCACCACTGCCAGCAGATACATGGAGCAAAAGGGAATGGAGAGCCAGATGTGCAGGGACTCCAGCCCTGGGATGCCTGAGAGCCAGAAGGAGCTCGGTACTGAGCAAACATTATGAAAAGAGAGCATGGCTCTTTATAAATTAACCTGCTCCCTTGTGCCCCCAAAACACAATAGAACTTTTTTCTGGAAATAAAAGATAAGAAAATTTTTAGAATAGCATCACTTATTAGATAAGAGGCTATAAACATAGAAGAAATGCTAGAATGTCATAGTACACATTCATCTTATTACTGTATTATAATGGCTATGAAAATGTACCAAGCAAAGGCAAAATACATATTTGAGTGAATATGAGTATCTTTTTGCAACATGACTCTTGTAGAGTAGCGTCCTTGCCATCAATAAAAGAAATGACATAAGGCAGAGAGGTAGCTATTTAGTCACTTACCTCTGCAGGAAGGCTATGAGGTATCTCTTCAGAATCTTAGGTTTCAGAGTAAGGATTAGACTCCTTGAAAGAGGAGGCCCATTAATGCTAAGAGATAGTGACAAATTCCTAGGACTCACTTACAAGGCTTGATAGTAAATCAAAGCTTAAGCTTGGGGCTGGTGTTAGCTATTAGGTTAGAGGAAATAATGTCAAATCTGGTCAAATCACAAAGCAGAGGTATGGACTTGTTAAGAGGAACTTCTAGAGCAGAAACAGTGACTCCTGAAAGAAGTTGATTATTGGAGCCCAGTTGGTATAGTTCCACAAGGCCTTCCTTTGTGAATACTGAATATGAGGATAAAATTCCTGAGGTGGGAGAGGGTTAGTTCTGAAGATAAATATTCAATCGAGTGGTGTGAAACCTAGGTGAATATTTAACCAAAGGAGAAATATACTTAAATCAGTCCAGAGCAACTCTCTAAATAAGAGAGCTATATGGGGAAGTCAAGGAAAGTTTTTTCAGATTCTAAAGGAACCAGAGAATGTTCTCTATATTAGAGGATTGTCAAAGATAAGAAGCGTGTAAGCTTTGTCTTCTATTTCTTGAGCCAGCTGGGTTGAACATAGCACAGTAGTCAGTAGCCTGTGCTTTGAAATTTTCCAGATATGGTTTCTGATACTTGAAAGACACTTAGGCAAATTATTTTATCCCATCAGTTAAATACCATGGACATATTTTCATCACAAACTTAAGTAGCATGACCAGGGGAAGTCACAAGGATCAAATGAGTATACAGCATCTCACATACAGTAAAATGAAGCATTAACTCTTAGAATATTTTTGTGTCAAACCAAATATAACACTTGGTAGAAGCCAACATGCTAGGCAGATGAAATTCCATATAAACCCATTCTTGTGACTTTATTCCACAGAATTCTTCATGACCTGGGTTTCCTCTCCATCTCAAGGTTCTCCCAGATCACTATACAGGGGAATAGTGTTGGCAGTAGCAGTAAAAAGGGAAGATGAAAAGGCAGTTCATTGGCAGTTCTTTTCCTGGGTGGAAAGGAATACGTAAGAACCAGCATGACTGAAGTGAACAAGTGAAGTGGAGTCAAGACTGTAGGTGGGAAACTGTCTTGGTTTCTGTGCCCTCTGAGCTGGGTATCCTGTATTTCTCTCCAGATTCCTTTTCTATCCTCAGAAACTGACGCTTGTGGGCTACATCCCCCAGATCCCCTACTCTGGTTTCTGGGTGAACTCAGGCAACATGATGCACCAGCAGGAAATGAGGGTGAGGCTAGAGATCAAGAATTCCCCAACTCTCCTACCAGGCACAGTGACCAGTGCTGTGGTTTTCTTCTGACCAGTCACAGCTCCCAAAAAGTGACCCTTCCTGTATTGACAACTGCATCTCCTTTACCTGGCCAGGCCTGAGTTAGGGGATGCTGCTCCCCATTAGTCCTGGGGCTCTACCTTCCCTGGCCATTCTCTTCAGATAGCCCTTCAATTGCACCCTTGATGTTGTCATTTGTTTTTTCATGGATCTTTTTTTTCTGAATAGTATATAATCCTCACCCATTTTCAGATGTCTCTTGTGAAGCTGACTGCTTCCTCAGAGGATACATCTAAAAGATGATAGTTTTCAGGACCAATTCCAAAGATAAAAAAACCATAATCTCATGTGGTTTTCAAGGGCTAAACAATCATTACTATGATTCCTAAGCTTACAATAAAGGGGTATTTGTCAATTTAATGCCCGCCTATAATCAACGAGCTGTTACAACTAATGTTACACTAGACAGAGGTATAATCATGTTTTGTTTTACTCCACAAAAATTGTTCCATGAATGAAAACATCAGCAGGACTTGCCAAGTGCCTTTGTCTTGTGTTCCCATGGTTGTCCCCATTAGAGCAGTTACTCTCCTGCACTAGATGCTGAAATAGCTTCCTCACTCTCATCCTTCTAATGACATTTGAGTCCCATCACTGAGTCCCATCCCGGGGCAGTGGTTTCCTTCTGAGCTTTGGCAGAGGTCATGTTGTAGGTGGATCTGTCTTACGCCACAGATGAGGCTAAATGTTAAACCTATTAGACTACAGGCAGAGTGATTTCTCCTGGAAGCAAACATGCTCTCATACATCACAGCCCTTGTTAGATCCAAGCCTAACCCTGGAGAGGGTGGATTTGATTTCTCTCCCTCTTTTCTCCTCCCCATATCAGACAATACACACAGCTGTTTTCCCAATAGATGCCATCTTCATCTCTTCCTTTGTCTCCAGGAATACATCATGAAACTGAAAGGGGCTTCCCACTACTGGAAAGAGTTTCAGCTACTAGGGGGTGAGTGGACTAAGCCTTGGGGTTAGCTTTGCCAGCCCTAGTCCTTTCCCTAAGACTCAAATACTATGAAACGCCTCCTTAATGTGTGCCCCTGTAATTGTGAACAGCAGAAGGAAACTACAGCTCTTGTTTGGGGTGCTGTGTGATTAAAACTCAGAGCACACAATTCCCACCTGAGCTCTATCCAAATACACTTGCCAATGCCAACAACCCCACCTCATCCTGCTCACTGCCTTCAACGTGGTTGAATTTTTCCATCTGCCAATTGTATGCTCTCTTGCCTCTACATACTTAAATGATGTTTTTTTTCCTGGTGTTAGAATGGCAAACATTTCTCTTCCTCATCTGGCTAATCTTTATACGTGAACCTTGCAATAGCTTAGATAATTGTCTTGGAGAAACCTGACTCATTCTGTGCTGGGTGTCTGCCTTTATACTCTAAACACGTACTGCTCTGAATTGCTTATTCACAATGTATTTTCCCCAAAATGAAAAGTAAATTCCATTAAGAATAAGGATATTGCCTATCTGATTCTGCCTATAAGCAGGCATGTGCTAGCACAGGGATTATGTTGAAGTAGAACTAGACATCACACCTTTTTGTAGAAGGAAGCCCTCCAATAGTGAAGCACAAGACTCAAGCCTCCTTGTGTGTGCGCTCTACATGGATTCCACCCTTTCTATGACCCCTTCCAAGAGATTTCCTTCCTTCTGCGTTTTATCCTGGAGATTTATATAGGAACAGTTTAAACTGGAATGCCAGCGTTCCCAAGTCTCCATCTTTATGAGCTGTGAACTATTCCTGATGTGTTCCTTTTCTAGCTTCCACTTTGTATGATGCTCTTACCTGGGCTGGGTAGTGTCAGAGCAAGAGCCTGGGGCTCTGCAAATGCCTCTGAGGGCTGGCACTTATAAGCATTCTGCTCAGGGGGTTGAGGGAATTCCATGTGGACTCTACCTCCCCATTTCTCTGAGAAGGAAAATAACTGGCTCTATCCCAGAAGGATGCATAAAATATAAATTTAAGCACAGCTAACATTGGCATGTCAAGGTTAGTCCAGAGGAACCTAAGGAGAGCAGAACTTCTAATTGAGCCATGATCCCTTGGGTCCAAGTCCTGCTCTTGCTTATTGTCTCTTGGCTCCTTGTAATCCTCAGATATTCTAAGAATACAAAGTATAGAAATCAGGGCCTCCCCTGGTGGCACAGCATTTGAGCGCTGGGTTGCGAAGCTGCCTGCAGCCTCTGCAACACCAGTTCAATCCTGTCTGCTGACGAGGGTCCCACATGGTGCGCAGAATTCTGCCATGCCTGCTGTTCCCCTCAGCAGTGTATTTTGTCATTCTGCCTGTTCTGTTTCCTGCTCTGGCTTTGAATTCTCTCACCCTCCTGTGCTTCTGACTGTACCCAGTGCTTGTATAAATACATAAATAAATCTTTAAAAAAAAAGAAAGAAAGAAAAAAGAACATTTAAAAGTATAGAAATCAGGCCTTTATAGAAGGATGAAGACTCTCCTCAGGATTAGAGCTCAGTCTGGCTGTAAATCTAATGAGCTTTTATGTCCTTGCAGTATTTGCAAGTGATGATAGAACCTGAACTCTAAGACAGATCAATTTTTTAAAAATTACTGCATGGTCTCACTCATAGCAGGAATTTAGAAAACCTAAATAAGGGACCAGGAAAAAGACTAATACGAAATCAAAATCAAAATCAACAAGCAACTATAAACCAGAGACACACTACGGGGGTAGGGGCGGAGAGAGGAAAGACTAGGGTCAAAATAAGGGGGCATGCAATTGTATGGGGAATATAACCAAAATGAAAATGCATACATTGTGCAAAAATGAAAAAAATGATGTAAGAATTATATAAAATAAAAATAATTTTTTTAAAAAACTGTAAAAACTATTTAAAAAATTACATATGGCAGACTTTCACCCAGTCTGCTTCACATTAAAGGAAGGATCCCATGGACTTGACAGGTGAGAAGTGCATCTTCTCTTACATCTTCCTGAACCTAACTTTCCCAACCTAACATCTATTCCTCAGAATGGAAAGAAATCATGCTAAGGAAATAGTTTTTCTGTATGTCCTCATGGGAAGCACCTCAGTTAGATGTCACACTTTTAGAACACATGGTGAGACATGGGATTTGAAGTCCAAAGGCTTGAGTTTGCAAGCCAGCTTGGTTCTCTACCCACTGTGTGACCTTAAATGAGTTGTTTCATCTCCACCTCAAGTGTAAACTGGGAATAATATCTATTTCTAGGTAGTTGTTATAACAGACTCCATATAAATGGCTAGTAAGAAGACAAAACACATCAGGTGTTTAATAAACAGCACCATTAC